TAAAATGCTTGCTTGCTAGCCTAACTTCCTTTCATGCGCAACGTTAGCTAGTTAACATTAGCCTTCTACGTCTAGCTACATATTGAACTTCTATCCTCAGGCCAGGGGCACAATGTATCAATTAATGGTTGGATCAGAATCGCCTTTATAAACATTGGCCAGTATGGAGAATTAAGTAAAACCACAAGTACAAATCCCTATCTCCATCCATGGCTAATTTAGGAAAGGGACAATTTTAGCTAGCTAGCTAGCCACCGTAGGACAACAACACAATGAGATGCAACAATTCAAGTTGTTTATGTCAATGATGTATGCTCTCAATGAGATTTGATAGGAGTGATGCCAAATCCAAACTGGCTTCCCTTGACACTTTTTTTTGGTGCGCCAGGACCATTTACAGTTGAGCTCACTCAGTTTAGCTCAACACTAATTGGCTATTATTTTATACTTTTTTATCATGGGAGGACAAATGCTCCTGGTTTCCCTTGCATTCAATGCTCCTGTCGTTTCCAATGGGAACAAGTGAGTCATAGTGGGCAGAACAAGGAAGAAGGTGGGCAGAGCCAAGCGCGAGCTAGCGAGATCCTATTGGCGCGTTCTTACATGTATCTGTATATTTACTCAGTGATTAACTAAATTCGCCTTTGCACACCTAAACAACGTGATTTGTAAAAACGTTTGTAAAGGGTAAAGTCTACTAAACTTAGTCCACTCTGTTCATAACATATTTTAGTTTTGGGAACAGAAAACTGTATTGAGATCAAATGTTTCATCGATGAGAAAATGTGCAGAATCTCGGCCATAATCCATCTTTATCCATCTTCTCCCACTGCTGGGCAGTGTGCTTCCTCTCACTACGAAATTCCAAGCGGATGCTTCACATTTGTACATCCGGTGAAATATCTGTCTCATTGTTCTATCTGTGGTCATACTCCTTTGGATCAGACAACATCAGATAGATGGCCTACACAAACAGAGAGGCGCTGTTTCGCTAGCTTGGATGCTTTCTCCGGTGAGATACATTCAGCCTCTTGCGAATTGAAGGACAATTATGAAACGAAGAGAGACGAAAGATACATAATTTAAAAAAAATAAAAAATGGGCCCTTGGCATCCATGAATACACGCCACAGCTCTGCACAACTCCGATATATATTAGTTGTTTTCAAACTTGTCGAAATGCCACGTGCGTCCACTTATATCAGTGCATTTGTAACAACCTAACCATTACGAAACTACCATTCGGTCAAATAAGCCTTACGTAGCAAATGAGCAATTACACTTTTTTGTTGACCAAATACGACGCTCTCTCATTGACCTCCATACAAAAATTCCTCACTTCGTGGGCTTATTTTCGGCTACTGATTTTCTCGGTCTTTCACTGGAACTGAGCTTCTCAGTTATTCTTCCCCCACTGCAAAAAAAATGTCTCCAGAAGAAACACTGCAGTGTGCAGGTTCTACCCCTTTCTCTCTCTAGTTCTATAGAGCCAACCAACATGCCTGTTAGATTATGGAACACTTGGCTATGGCTATAGAGAAAGGTGCAGCGTTTTTTGTCCTCATAATATAAATGCTTGAATCTTAAAACGATTAAATCTTTAAAAAGGCATAAGTAAAGTAATACAGTAGATTCGTTTTCTCTGCCCTAAGGACCCAATGCATTTCAGCACCCCTCTGGACCAGGATGTACAGTATTTCCATTGAATAGGATGTAGTGAATGGACATGTAAAAAATCAGTTGTAGGCTATTTGACATGGAAGTTCACTGTCACCCTATATCAATTCTCTTTGCTGTCACTGTCTCATGTGGAGAGGCCAATGTCACATTTTGTTGTTGGTGAGTGGGGCCAAAAATAGACTGGTGCAGAAAGATCACACAGCATAATTTGGGCACCATCTTGTGGTGTAGTAGTGGGATTACTGAAAATGTCCAATAATGCTTTCTTGTTTAGGGTTTTATCTCTCTGGCATCGGTTGGGTTTTATGTGTTCAAATCAAGCTTTATTTATACAGCACAATGTGCTTTACAGTAAAAAAAAAAACTATGAAAAAACAAACTGAAATATTTACTACACAACAAACATAAGACGATAAAAAACTAAAGAATAACAATAAAACGGAATACTAAAAAGCACCCTAAGGAAAAACTAAGCTAAAAAGGTGTGTTTTAAGATCACTTAAAAATAAAAAATAAAATTGGACTCCCTCAAGTTCTATGGCAGGCTATTCCAGAGGCTGGGGGCATAGTAACTAAAGGCTGCCTCTCCACGCCTCTTGGTCCTAGGCTTTGGGATAGTTAAAAGGCCAGTGCCAGAGGACTTGAGGGACCTACTGGGTACATAACTCAAAAGCATGTCTGATATGTATTGGGGTGCACAATCGTGGATTTATTTAAAAATCAATAGAATAGTACCCATGCTGCAGAATTCTGTATGTTTTTCAGTTGACCAATGGCTTTCTAGGGTAGACCAGACAGGAGAGCATTACAGTAGTCAAGCCTGCTTGTAATAAAAGCATGGATGAGTCACTCTGTATCAGCCTGAGAGAGAAATGGCCACACCTTGGCAATGTTCTTCAGGAGGTTAAAAGCTATTTTGGTCACATTCCTAATGTGTGATTCAAAATTGAGTTCAGAATCTAAAATAACACCTAGGTTTTTTACCTGGTGTTTTATCTTTATTGCCCGTGAATCAAAATGTGCGGCCAGATTCTCTCTCTGTGCTTTGGCTCCAACAATAAGTACCTCGGTCTTGTCTTGATTTAGCTGAAGGAAGTTATGATCCATCCAAGTAATTCAATCACTAATACAGTCTAATAATTTATCCTTGGAGCTAAAATCCTCTGGTGACACAGAAATGTAAAGTTGTGTATCAGCTGCGTAGCAGTGAAAATCAATGCTGTGCTTTCTGATAACGCTGCCAAGGGGTAACATATATAAACTGAACAGTACTGGACCCAAAATCGTGTTGCAACCACATCAGAGAGGGGGTAAAAACTATCCATTCATTGATGTAAATTGCAAAATTGATAAACTGCATTGACATTCAGATTAAGTAGAATCAAGCCGAGTAGCAATATGCAGATGAGCAAAATGGTCGACTGATCCCTTTATTTGGTCATCTAATGTACTTAAAAAAATATATAAAAAAGAAATTCAATATGTAGATAATTTATCCAAATGTAGCTAGATGTTTCATCAGGCCAGACACCGGCATCAAAAACAGTACTGTGCCAGCGTCACTGATGTAACTCGCGTGAGAATTTTCACCGCTTTTTCAACATGACCTTCAAAAGCCCAATGGTGTGTGATGCCCCTGTTTGGGCACGATTCTGTTTTAGTATAATTTATTGTCTAAAATAATTAAACTGCAACCTAAACATAAACAACATGTGTTTTGTGAGTATTTAGTCTGTAATAATTTAATATAATACTTGGATAACGTTGTAATTTATTTTTGAAGGAAATAATTTTACTCAGGCAATCTTTAAGTTTCTAAAAATGGGTCCGTTTCTCAATGCATGGAGCAACCCATGTGTCGGTTAATTGCAGAAGATCGCAGGTTCAACTGAGTTGTTGAAGAGCAGTCGTGCTGCTACACCGGTTCTGACAAGCTAAATACAGTCCTAGATTTGTCGTGGAAATTGCATATCTCTAACGAAATAAGATATCTATATCTGGGTCCTCGCTAAATTCTACAAAAGATCAACAGTTTGGATTTTCATTGCGGCCTCCATTTTAAAGCCAACTAGCTTGCTACCAGAATTGTCAAAATGTTAAGCGTTACAAGAACAGCTTCAAGGTCTCTCCCCTCTCCGAACTGCTCAAGAAGCGTGTCCTCCTTGATAAAGAAGGTAAGTTCAATATTTTAGGTTAAATGTTTCCAAGAGGTGTAACAAGAAATGAATGATGGCAAAGCGTTAGTTGGGTTGCTAGGGAAAAACGTTAACTAAATGTCGCAGCTAGCTAACGTCGTTGGCTACCACACTAGCTAACGTTGTTAGCTAACTAGCGTCTGATGTCTGATAGTGGATAAAACAGCCATCCCGAAACGGAAAAACTAACGTTACTAACTAAAGTTAGGTAGTTAACAATATTCAAGTCATGGTAGGTAAGTAACGTTAACTGTTATAGAATTAGCTAACTAGCTAGGCTCCCAGCCTGAGCCTGGTCAAGTAGACGAGCTAGCCAGCTAACGTTAGTTATGACGCAACCAGTAGTAATGTTAGATAACTTTTCTGTTAGACAGGATGTTTTATTTATCATTAATGTGTTCTTCGTCTGACCTAAACATACCAAGTCATGTTTATTGGCGACCATAGTGGGAGCTTGCTAGAAGGGTTAAGTAACTAGTTGGCTAGCTACCCCCGTAAGGTCTTATTGAATTTCAAGACATCAGCAGAGGCTAGTCCTCTCTGGCAAGCTAATGCCATCTAACTAACGTCAGCTAACATGGATGTTTGTATAACCACCTCGTGTTATTTCAATGTGTTTTAGCGAAATCGTCAACCAGTGAGTCGGTATCAACTAACTTAAGCGGGGTGTCAAGACCTTTAGGTAGTTATAGACACACGGTTCGTTTTATTGCGCAAGATAATGTTAGCATTAGCAAGCTACTGAAGTTTGCCGGTTTTGTTATGAATGGGGGCGACATTCATTTTCTTATGTGGAGAGAACATCTGTGACCTTCAGTGTGGTGTCCCTGAGCACCCACCCCAGTACACCGCAGTTCTATGGCATAATGTTAAAATATCATAAGCGTGTGTAACATGATGTTTGGTTATCTATGTAACAATTACATTCATGGACACCTTGTATTTCTTTATACCAAATGTGGATTAGTGTGCGTCACGTCTATGCCCTCTGTTAATTGAAACTAGACCGTTTGAGTTTCTTCTCATATTGGTTGAAGAAGTGTTATAGACATATTTCACTAATAAGTAGTCAATGTTTTTTCGCCAGGCTTGCTGGAATGGATTCCAACAAGATGCTTTCAGAGCGATGTCCAGACGTGACTATGCGTAAGTATTGTTTTAAGTTATTTAGCGTTACTATACGATATTTAATCCTATAACATCCATGAGCAGGGCTTAGCATTTTTACTTACTGTTTGACTTTGTTTTACAGATCGGAGGCGATTAAAGGATCTGTGATTGGAATTGACCTGGGAACTACAAACTCCTGTGTGGCAGTCATGGAGGGCAAACAAGCAAAGGTCGGTTGAAGTTTTATCAGTAATTTTATGTTTGTATGACCTGTGTAATGTAAAGCCCTAAGATCCCTTTGAAATCCTCTAATTACAGTTCATTTTCTAGACTGTTAATGCATAGTATGTTGTGTGACAGGTACTGGAGAATGCAGAGGGAGCAAGGACAACTCCTTCAGTTGTGGCCTTTACAGCTGATGGGGAGAGACTGGTGGGCATGCCAGCTAAAAGACAGGCAGTCACCAACCCTAACAACACCCTCTATGCCACCAAGCGTCTCATCGGTCGCCGTTACGATGACGCAGAGGTTCAGAAGGACCTGTGAGTGTGTTTTCCTAAGTTAGGTCTCAGACCTTACTAGCCATTGTAATGCATAATTAGTTGGAAAATATTTTGTAGTTGGAGATTAATGTATGACATGGTTGTTGTGGACTCACAGGAAGAACGTGCCCTACAAGATTGTCCGTGCTTCCAATGGTGATGCCTGGGTGGAGGCCCACGGAAAGCTCTACTCCCCCAGCCAGGCCGGTGCCTTCGTGCTGATGAAGATGAAGGAGACAGCAGGTAAACTACCAATCAATCTTTATTGCCCCCAGAGGGAAAACTAGCATGTCAATTCTGTTCCCAACTACGCCTGCCTGTGTTCTAAAAAACGTGCTCATTACAAAATTGGCTTGGTTTTAGAGAACTACATGGGTCACAATGTGAAGAATGCTGTTGTCACCGTGCCAGCCTACTTCAATGACTCCCAGAGACAGGTAAGAGCCTTTTCTTTGTCTGCTTAATCATTTATGACTGGAACACACTGGTGGCCAAAAGTCACGTTGTCACTAGCTATGCCTTTGCCATTGACTCACAGAATGGTGATCTAGCAAGCCTTTCAACTGATCAGTGCATGCCATGTGTATTTATGTATTTGTGTATGTGTGTGTAATGAGTAGGTGATTTTGTTTACAGGCCACAAAGGATGCTGGTCAGATTGCTGGGCTGAACGTGCTGCGAGTCATCAATGAGCCCACTGCTGCTGCTCTGGCCTATGGTCTGGACAAGACTCAGGACAGAATGTAACTATAACAACCCTACAAACTGCTGTAAACTTATGAGACCGTAGCAATGACCCCAACTTTATTTTGATCCATGCTAAAAGGTGTTTTGGCTCATATTTCATACCTGTCCCCGATTTGCAGCATCGCAGTCTATGACCTGGGAGGTGGCACCTTTGACATCTCTGTCCTGGAGATCCAGAAGGGCGTGTTTGAGGTGAAGTCCACCAACGGAGACACCTTTTTGGGTGGAGAGGACTTTGACCAGCACCTACTAACCCACATTGTGAAGGAGTTCAAGCGAGAGGTGAGAAGGGGGAAATATCCTGGATACACAACTTTCTATGACCAAGCACATCTACCATATTCAAGTGAGCCAGCCATTTTGATCAAACCTTTGATTTCTCTTTCCAGTCTGGAGTTGATCTGACCAAAGACAGCATGGCTTTGCAGCGAGTGAGGGAGGCAGCCGAGAAAGCCAAATGTGAACTGTCATCATCCCTGCAGGTGAGTTTCATCATCCCACAGCAGACATTTCTCTCATTACCTAATTGGTAGGCTAATGATTAGACTAAACAAGACCATTGTCAACAGAAGTAACTTGTTTGTATTGTATACAGTCCCTGGACCCTCAGGCTTTGTTTGAAGATCGGTAATCCCACAGCGGTAGTCGGCTGTACTGGCCGGCCCTATGCCTGAGCTAGCTACACTGCTGGGAGAGGAAGGCTCTGTGGCCTAGTCCAGAATACACTGTTTTAATGGCTGATGCTGAGCTGTAGCAGAGCTGTGACCTTTAGAGAGTGGGCTGTACCCGCACACTGGGGCAGCCCTAGTCTAAGGGCTAACAAATATGCAATGCAGAGCTCTAGGGCTGGGCGATATTCACATTTATTTTTGCGCGATATTCCAAATGCCTCTATCGCAAGAATGAAGTTCATTTAAGTGTTTATGTTCTCATGTTTTTCGCGCCTTCTGCTGTGACTGTGCACGTTCCCATTTGAAAGGCTCTGCAGTGGCCATACAGCATTTACTGTGATGCTGCCTCCACAGAAGTCAGAACATTCATAGTTCTTGCACTTCGGTGAGCTGTCATATGTATCCAATAAAGTGGTCTGCTCCACTCTACTCGTAGTGATTCAGGGCTAATCTCTATAGCCACCCAGCTAATTACAAGCAACTGGCTAAACAAAAAGACAAGACCTAGCCTCTTCTGAGATGTTGGAGTCTGTTTCCCTGTGCTTGACATAGGAGCTCAGCCAAGATGGCATTTTCCCACCTTTCATCTCCATCCCGAATCTCCCCATTGCCCCCCCCCCCCCAAAATTAGCCGACATTTAGGCTATTGTTACACAGTTACACCTTGTGCTAGGGACAATAAAAGGCCACTATGTTGAGGTAAAAATCGGAGTATAATGCTTGTATAGATGTCAACCCCAATACATGTTCATGTCAATGTCAATCAACTGCATTAGTTACAAATGACTGACTACCACTACCGATTTCTGTATGCTAGCTATGATACCAGCTTATACGAATGTATCCAAATCGGATTTTAGTAACCACATTGTGGGGCTATTACAATACATCAATCATGACGGTTTTTACAAATATCCACTTTGTTAGATAAGATTTGTTGAATGTCCAATCCAGTGTCCTTTATCCCCCACAGTCTGCATTCCATTGACCTTTACCACATCTATCCCCGTTACCGCCCGATTTCTTCCCATGTGTTCTAACTTATTTTCGTGCCTCTAAAATCCCTACACAAGGTTTCATAAAGATTTTTTTATTTTATTTGTGAAATTATTCTGATAGCCTGTCTTCAAAGTTCTCCATGTTTGTGGTCAAGGAAGTGATTTTGTTTATACAGGATGTACCGCCCCCACCTACCATCAACCAATCATGTCAATGCGGAGCTATACGGAGTCCTCCGCATTGTTAAAACATTTGGGAGGCGCACGGCAATGCAGTACGGATCTTGATTTGGCTTCCGGAGGTTACGCAATTGCGTCACATCCTCCGTTCTGAGCCTCCGGATCGCATTGCAGGATCAAGTGTAAATTGGCTTTTACACACACTCAAATTGCGCACAGCAGACACTACTGAAACAGGATTAGTAATTAACATTGATTCTGGAAAATTATGACTCACTTTGTCGCCCATGGCATTACGGTACCGCTAGCAGCATTTTAGCCACAGACTGTTATATTTGTTGTCTAGTCGGTTTTTATAAATGTGCAATAAGCATGAAAAACAATTTTATAAGGAATTGGTAACTCGCTCATTCTGAGAAAGAAGGTATGCCAGATGATTTCAACATCTAACCAAAGTGGACAGGCTGGCATGCTGTTCAAACAGTTTAAGACCGACAGAAGTGTGTTCATAACAATTCAACTTTTCTACCGTGTTCGCTAGCAAATAGATCCAAGTTGGTTCAACTTGAAATATATCAAAAAGAAAAGGAAAGCCGCACACTCTAGGAGCTCAGATGCAATAATTTAATATCTTAATAACCAACGTTTCGACAGACAAGTTGTCTTCATCAGGGTATAATTGTCTGTCGAAACGTTGGTTATTAAGATATTAAATTATTGCATCTGAGCTCCTAGAGTGTGCGGCTTTCCTTTTCTTTTTGAAGTGTTTTACGCCGTCAGCCAGCACCTCGCCTAAATAGGTGTGCGTTTCTTTCGCCTTTATATCTCAACTTGAAATATAACCATTTGTTGGCTACTCACTAGCACCTGGGATTGTGCTTGAGATATTGTTTATGAGCACTTTGTTAATTTGTATGATGCCTGCTACAAGAAGTTAGTCATTATTAGTGAATGTGCATTATGCATGGTTCTGGTTTAAATTTGTATGAACTATTTTATACAATTTAATTATTAGTGGGTCTTATGGTTGTGGAAGGCTTATATTTAGCCTAGGTATAATTTCACAAGCCCTGAATTCATGAGATTATTGCTGGCTGGTTGAAATGCAGAATATTTGACCTTTTAATTGTACAACAAAGCTTATTTAGAGAATTAAAAATAAAGTATATTGTGCCTCGCCCATACATTTTAAGGGACCAAAAGTATTGGGACAAATTCACTTGTGTATTAGTTGTAAAAAGTAACGTTTTTGGTCCCATATTCATAGCACACAATGACTACATCAAGCTTGTGACTACACCTTTGTTGGATGCATTTGCTTTTTGTTTTGGTCATGTTTCAGATTATTTTGTGCCCAATAGAAATGAATGTTAAATAATGTATTGTCACTTCTTGTAACTAAGAATGTTTCTAAACACCTCTACATTAATGTGGATGCTACCATGATTACGTATAATCCTGAATGAATCGTGAATAATAAGTGAGAAAGTTGTGTGCATAGCTCACTCATTATTCGCGCTTCATTCAGGATTCTCTGTAATCATGGTAGCATCCATGTTAATGTACACGGAACAAAACTATATAAACGCAACATGTAAAGTGTTGGTTTCATGAGCTGAAATAAAATATCCCAGAAATGTTACATCCGCACAAAAAGCTTTTCTCTCGTTTTGTGCACAAATTTGTTTACATCCCTGTTGGTGAACATTATTCCTTTGCCTAGATATGCCACACCTGTCAGGTGAATGGATTATCAAGAAGCTGTTGAAACAGCATGATCATTTCACAGGTGCACCTTGTGCTAGGGACAATAAAAGGCCACTTTAAAATGTGCAGTTTTGTCACACAACACAATGCCACAGATGTCTCAAGTTTTGAAGGAGCGTGCAATTGGCATGCTGACTGCAGGAATGTCTACCAGAGCTGTTGCCAGATAATTAAATGTTAATTTCTCGACCAAAAGCCGCCTCCAACGTCGTTTTAGAGAATTTGGCAGTACGTCCAACCGGCCTCACAACTGCAGACCACATGTAACCACGCCAGCCCATAACCTCCACATCCAGCTTCTTCACCTGTGGGATCATCTGAGACCAACCACCCGGACAGCTGAGGAAACTGTGGGTCTGCACAACCAAAACATTTCTGCTCAAACAGTCTTAGGGAAGCTCATCTGCATGCTCGTCATCCTCACCAGGGTCTCAACTTGACTGCAGTTCGGCGTCGTAACCGACTTCAGTGGGCCAATGCTCACCTTCAATGGCCACTGGCATGCCGTAGAAGTGTGCTTTTCACGGATGAATCTCGGTTTCAACTGTACCGGGCAGATGGCGTCGTGTGGGTGAGCGGTTTCCTGATGTCAATGTTGTGAACAGACTGTCCCATGGTGGGGTTATGGTATGGGCAGGCATAAGCTACGGACAATGAACACAATTGCATTTTCTGGAAGCTGAATGTCCCAGTTCTTCCATGGCCTGCATACCCAGACATGTCACCCATTGAGCATTTTTGAGGTACTCTGGATCGACGTGTACAACAGCATGTTCCAGTTCCCGCCAACATCCAGCAACTTCGCACAGCCGTTGAAGAGGATTAGGGCAACATTCCACAATCAACAGCCTGATCAAGTCTATGTGAAGGAGATGTTGCGCTGCATGAGGCAAATGGTGGTCACACCAGATACTGACTGGTTTTCTGATCCACGCCCCTACTTTTTTGTTGTTGTAGGTATGTGACCAACAGATGCTTATCTGTATTCCCAGTCATGTGAAATCCATAGATTAGGGCCTAATGAATTTATTTCAATTGACTGATTTCCTTATGAACTAACTCAGTCTTTTAAATTTTCATTTTGAATTTATATTGTTCAGTATGGAAGTGTTTAGAAACATTATATTCTTACAATAACAGTGACTCAAATGACAATACATTTATCAAATAGTTATTTGGCACAAAATCTGAAATGTAAAAACTGATCAGTTGTGGTAAAAGGACTATCTTGCTGTAACTGTTGGTTTGAGTTGGGGCTATCGTGGTTGTGTACATTTAAAACACAAATGGTGGTTTGCAGTTCAAAGGGCTGTTGCCCAGTTTATTTCAGTTTAAATGTTGAAGATAAGGTTGAGGATGGTTAACAAGGATGCAAAGGAAACAAAAACATGAATCTCAATAACATTAAAATAATATTACAGTGAAGTAACTTAAGTGATATCTTTAAACATGAGTAAAGGAAATGCATAAAGCAACCGACTATATCAAACAAATGTTCTCAATCAAATGATGGTATGAATTAAGAACAATCTTACTTAAACGCATCCAAAAATACACAAAGGAAAGTTACAAGAGAAAAGGTGTCTTGTAACAAAACCCTTGCAAACTGAAACGGTAAGGTCTGCCACACTGATTAGTGACAGGTGTGTGTATTTAAAGGTGATGAAGGAGCTGGCGTCCCGCCTCTGCTGGAGGGGGATTGGACAGAGGATGGTCGTTGGTGAGGGGACTGTCGGTCAGGGTAGAGACAATTCGACCACAGAAACAACCAAAACAAGCTGCAAATGCATCCAACAAATGTGTAGTCACAAGCTTGATGTAGTCATTGCATGCTATGAAGATGGGACCAAATGCTTAACGATTTACTACTTTAATACACAAGTGAATTTGTCCTAATACCTTTGGTCTCCTAAAATGTACAAAAAGTGCGGTATTTCTAAACCGTTCACCCGAAATGGATGAAAATAACCTCAAATTAAAGCTGACAGTCTGCACATTATCCTCAGTCATTGTATCATTTCAAATCCGAGGTTCTGGAGTACAGAGCCAAAACAACATAAAATGTATCACTGCCCCAATACCTTTTGGAGCTCACTGTAGGTTAACCCCTTTTCAGTGTAGATGAAAGAACACTCATAGATCCTTTTTCCTCCCACAGACCGACATCAACCTGCCCTACCTGACCATGGATGCCTCTGGCCCCAAGCACTTGAATATGAAGATGACCCGCTCCCAGTTTGAGGGCATCGTGTCTGACCTGATCCGCAGGACAGTGGCCCCCTGCCAGAAGGCCATGCAGGATGCAGAGATCTCCAAGGGGGACATCGGTGAGGTGCTGCTGGTCGGTGGTATGTCTCGTATGCCCAAGGTGAGCAGATCTCTCCCAGCCTTCCTGGTTCTATCCCACCTCTTCATCATGCTCTGCCCCTGTCTGACCACCCATCCTGTTGTCTTCTCTCCCAGGTCCAGCAGACAGTCCAGGACCTGTTTGGCCGTGCCCCAAGCAAGTCAGTCAACCCAGACGAGGCTGTGGCCATTGGAGCTGCCATCCAGGGAGGCGTGCTGGCTGGAGATGTTACTGATGTGCTCCTTCTGGACGTCACACCCTTGTCTCTCGGTATTGAGACCCTTGGGGGGGTGTTCACCAAACTTATCAACAGGAACACAACCATTCCCACCAAGAAGGGCCAGGTGAGGGACAAACATCAGATTTTTATTCTGTCTGAAGCGGTCTGGTGAAACGTATATTAATTGTATATACTTCATTGTCTTACCTCATCAGTGGTACTGATGCATTCTTCCTTGTGCTTAGGTGTTCTCTACAGCAGCTGATGGCCAGACCCAAGTGGAGATCAAAGTATGCCAGGGAGAAAGAGAGATGGCAGCAGACAACAAGATCCTGGGACAGTTCACTCTGGTAAGTGTCCTAGCTGATTCATACTTACTAAACTTAAAGTTTATCTTTACGTCTCTGAAGGATACTAATGTCTTACTGGTGTTTTTCTCATGCAGGTTGGAATTCCACCTGCCCCACGCGGAGTACCTCAGATTGAGGTCTGCTTCGACATTGACGCCAATGGAATCGTGCACGTGTCTGCCAAAGACAAAGGCACAGGCCGTGAACAGCAGAGTAAGATCATCTAACATCCTGCCCTTGAAATACATGCTAACTTTTAGTAGGTCTTCAATAGTATGAATTTACTTTGTCTAACACAGCCTTTCCCCTCACTTCTCCAGTTGTTATCCAGTCCTCCGGTGGCCTCAGCAAGGATGACATTGAGAACATGGTTAAGAACGCAGAGAAGTATGCTGAGGAGGACCGGAGGCGAAAGGTAGGGTTGACAATTTCTTCTCATCAAGCATCCATTTAACTTTTATCAGTTACATCAACTGCAGGCTACTCCCAGCTGGAGTTGTGATGTGTTTTGATGACCGTGTGCTGTGAATGCTGACAGTTGTCCTTGAATCCCTGTTTGTTTTTGCCCAGGACCGTGTTGAGGCTGTTAACCAGGCAGAGGGCATCGTCCATGACACTGAGTCCAAGATGGAAGAGTTCAAGGATCAGCTCCCTGCTGATGAGGCATGTTGGATATATATATAATTTACATAGGATTTAAAGGGCTTTAAAAAAAAAAACAAAGACACTGAACAACAAAATTGACAAGAACAGCAATGCCTCTGAAACATCCCAAACAATCCCAAATATCAGGTAATTCCATAGTCCTAGTATTTGACTTTCTTCCCCCATCTTTCAGTGCAACAAACTGAAGGAAGAGATTACCAAAGTGAGAGACTTGCTGTCACGGAAGGACGAAGAGACTGGCGAGAATATCAAACAGGCTGCCACCACCCTCCAGCAAGCATCACTCAAACTCTTTGAAATTGCTTACAAGAAGGTAATTGTCTCAACACCGCAATATTGTCAAATATATTTTCCTTCACTTGCAGTTCTAACGGAGTTTGACCAACCTGGAATAAGCCTGGATTGGTTGCTTAGCTTGTCAATCAAGAGCCCACCATACTTTTTTACAATGGGTCAATTGAAATATTACTGTTATATTTAACTGAATATTTGTCAATTTCTTCCCAGATGGCATCAGAGAGGGAAGGCAGCAGCTCTGGATCATCATCATCATCATCTGAAGGTGGAGCTGGAGAGAAAAAAGAAGGCCAGCAGTAAAACCTTTGCGGTTGTCATGGAAACATGGACTGAAGCGCTTGGGAGCGTAGATGTGTTGTCCTGAGCGGCGGCTGTTGCGTTCAAGTCATTCTCACATACTGTGTTTTTGCAGTAAAGATATATAGAATAATAATGTATGTTCTTCCACCCCTTTGTAATTTAATTGTCAAAAACAATATATCCTGTCCATTTTAAAAACATTTATTTGCATCTGTGAACTGTTTATAGCTATTATGTGTTTGTCCTACCGTGATGCCATTTGGGTTTCATTTGTACATGTAGCTCTGCTGCTCTCCGGTCAACTGACGACTCCAGTGGAAATGCTATAGAAGAAGCTTGGATATTCTCTAGCTTCATCCTGTTTCTGTTTATCAAGTCTATCTGCTCTATGAAAACAGTTGGCATATAAATATATATATACAGTGATATGAGTAAAGCCACGTAGGTGTGGTTAAAGATGTATCGTATGACAATACAACTACTGGGTTTTATTTCTGTTAGACATTTGAATCCTTAAACGCTGGTATTCCTTTCGGTACAGAGGAGTCCCGAGTTAGCTCATTCTTCTTGACATTGTCATGGGTCTGAACTGGGAGAGAATACCATGCATACAATATACAAATAGAAACATATCTACATATGATACATTTGTTTTTACATGGGTAATGTGGAATATACCAATGAGTGTAATTGGATGAGGATGCACATTAGTAACATCTCACTTTGTTAAGTATGTTAGTCATTCCCCCAGAGAGTTTGTTTTGCCATAACTGTTCTGTGTGAAACGCTGCGGATCAGACAGAAAGTTGACTGCAGTGGAAGAGGAAAAAAATAAGTCTGGTATGTGGTGGGTTTATTTTGAAACTGGAGGTTGTTTGGGGAATATGATATTTGAGTGAAAATGTGGGGTCTCATTTACCATTCCTAATTTTTCTAATAAAATTCTAAATTTCAACAGTGGTTTTGTGTTGATGTCCTGGAAATTAGGAATTTTTGCTTTGGCAATCGTGGTGATGAGTCTGTGTCCGGAAGTGACTTCACCATTCCTTTACTGTATTCAGGTTCACTCAAACATCATTTGAAGCTTTGTTGTACTACTGAAAGTTACAGCTGATTTCAGGATTGTATTTGGATTCGCTCTCCTTAAATATTTGTCATCTGATGTATCCACTTCAGGGCATATAAACCACAAGTATAATAAGAACGGGAGACTACGTCCAAGATGTCCAACCGTTGTTTTCAAGGGGCCAGGGTTCAACTGCTCCTACAATTTTGCTTCAGTACTGCAGTTTAACTGACGCCCAGCCTAGGAAGACCATTTCCATACATGGCCAGATTAGAAAATTCATACTGTAATAAGACACTTTAGTCATCACCTTTTGTGCACAAAATATCCATTGAATTATTCAAATAATTGTCTTTCTGGGCCGGGCGTCAGTTGAACTGCAGTACCGAACCAAAACTGTAGGAGCAGTCGAAACCGTGCTTCGAGACAAGAACCCTGGCCCCTTGGTGATAACCTGGAAAACAACGGTTGGACATCTTGGACGCAGTCTTCCGTTCTTATTATATGAGCTTTTTACCCGGTTTTCCCTGGATAAACTAGCAGGCTAGCTGAACTATGATTGTTTTCGTCCTCATTGCTCAACTTCAAAACTCCTTTGCTAGTTAAACAATCATGTAACTAAGAAATTTGCTGGAAAGAAACTTCAAAATTATGTAATGTTGAATAGTTATGACTGGTTCGAGCTATCTGTCATGTTGTAAGACAACGCCGGTGGCGAAGGATATCATTGCTACTTAACGCAGACCCAAGTAAAGTTTTGAGATCCACGGACGGTGATGCGGACAGCCCAGTACATCACTGGGGACGAGCTCCCTGCCGTCCAGGACCTCTATCCAGGGGGTGTCAGAGGAAGGCCCGAAAAACTGCCAAAGACTCCAGTCACCCAAGCCATAGACTGGTTCACTCAGCTACCGTCCGGCAAATGGTACCGGAGCATCGGCTCTCGGACCAACTGTCTCCGAGACAGCTTCTACCCCCAAGCCATAAGATTGCTAAATAGTCAATTAATGGTACCCGAACTATCTGCACGGACTCTATCTTGCACTTACCCTACGCACACTCACTATATATATATATATATATATATATATATATATATATATATATATATATATATATATATATATATATACACACACACACTACATTGACACTCCCACACACATTCACACTCATAATTTGCTGCTGCTACTCTGTTCTTAATTTGACTAATTATTATCTATCCTGATGCCTAGTCACGTTACCCTGCCTTCATGTACATACACACTATATACAAAAGTATGTGGACACCCCTTCAAGTTAGTGTATTCGCCTATTTCAACCACACCCGTTGCTGACAGGTGTATAAAATCGAGCACACCACCATGCAATCTCCATAGACAAACATTGGCAGTAGGATGGCTTTACTGAAGAGCTCAGTGACTTTCAACGTGGTACCGTCATAGGATGCCACCTGGTACTCCCTGTATAGAGCTCCATTCTTGTGTATTTTATTTTATTCCTCATGTTACTATTTTATTTGTATTATTATTTTTAAACTCTGCATCGTTGGGAAGGGCTCGTAAGCAAGCATTTCACAGTAAAGTCTACACCAGTTGTATTCAAATAAAATAATACCCATAAAACCTAGCGGTCAAACACAAAAATGGTTCCAATCGTTTTTTTAACATTAATTTAACACTGCATTCAGTCTGAACCCCAGAATAAGCAGGAGGCCAGCATTACACCGGTTTTAAAAAAAGGTCGTAAAAACAGTACACCACAACACTTAAAATGTGTTACTGAGTCTAGATGTTTTCCAATCAGGAGAAGAACAAGTGAAGGAAACAGCATAGGGAAGATGGGTGAAGGTAGGGTGGGTTTATAGAGATAAGATGGAGAGGTCCAAAGTGTCCGAAGTTGAGGGACCAGGGGGCATAAAAGGCATCGTGTGGAATAAGGGGTAGCTAGAAGGATGGATGGCCATGGAATAAACATCAAATTGGATGCTGCTGTGCTTCACCCCTTTTAGGTCGTTGTCACAAATATCCGGCCCATGTCCAGTCATACTCGGAGTCTCAACGTCATTCAGTCTCAGTTGCAGCGTTCAGATCGTGCTCATCGTGTGTCTGTGAATCACAACATTAAAGACGATGAGTGATCACAGCATTTTCACAAATTGAGCCTTACACAATACAAATGAAGAATTGAGGTCAGCATTTTGTTGACGACATGGTGGTTTACACTACTGTATGTCTACTGTGTGTGAATGATGGAAGAATCTTACCCCAGCTGTAGGTCCATTTGAGTGTGTGTGGTCACTTAGGCCTGCACATCAACCAGTACTGGGACCATTAGAGACTTGGGATGCTTGCAGCTTGAATGTCTTCGGGTCTGTGTCTATAAAGATCAAGTACAAAATGGAGGAAGTTAGTCTGTGGCTTAGATTGAGTTCAAAGTTGACACAAATGGAAAACTAAGAAATACGATGCAAGAGACTACTACACATACAGTTGAAGTCGGAAGTTTACATACACTTAGGTTGGAGTCAGGAAGGAAAATGATGTGGATATATTGAAGCAACATCTCAAGACATCAGTCAGGAAGTTAAAGCTTGGTCGCAAATGGGTCTTCCAAATGGACAATGACCTCAAGCACACTTCCAAAGTTGTGGCAAAATGGCTTAAGGACAACAAAGTCAAGGTATTGGAGTGGCCATCACAAAGCCCTGACCTCAATCCTATAGAAAATGTGTGGGCAGAACTGAAAAAGCGTGTGCGAGCAAGGATGCCTATATACCTGACTCAGTTACACCAGCTCTGTCAAGAGGAATGGGCCAAAATTCACCCAACTTATTGTGGGAAGCTTGTGGGAAGCTACCCGAAACGTTTGACCCAAGTTAAACAATTTAAAGGCAATGCTACCAAATACTAATTTAGTGTATGTAAACTTCTGATCCACTGGGAATGTGATGAAAGAAATTACATCTGAAATAAATAATTCTCTCTACTATTATTCTGACATTTCACATTCTTAAAATAAAGTGGTGATCCTAACTGACCTAAGACAGGGAATTATTGCTAGGATTAAATGTAAGGAATTGTGAAAAACTGAGTTTAAATGTGTTTGGCTAAGGTGTATGTAAAACTTCCGACTTCAACTGTATAAAGACTGCACCACACGGGTCAGTACAATAGCCTACACATGGAGAGGATCTGAATGGTAGGAGTGTGTATAAGCTTTTGTTCCAGCCCATCTCATACATGATTACAAATCATAGCCTATTGCCGTGATTAATTATGTTGATTATTCAAAACTGTTCGCTGCTCTGGCACCCCAATGGTGGAACAAGCTCCCTCACGACGCCAGGACAGCGGAGTCACTCACCACCTTCCGGAGACATTTGAAACCCCACCTCTTTAAGGAATACCTGGGATAGGATAAAGTAATCCTTCTACCCCCCCCCCAAATTGTAAAGTGGTTATCCCACTGGCTATAGGGTGAACGCACCAATTTGTGAGTCGCTCTGGCTAAGAGCGTCTGCTAAATGACGTTAATGTGCCCTTGAGCAAGGCACTTAACCCTAATTGCTCCTGTAAGTCGCTCTGGATAAGAGCGTCTGCTAAATGACTAAAATGTAAATGTAAAATGTATATTTAAGGTCAGGTGTTAGAGATGGGTTGGGACCAAAACCCTTCATACACTCCTGCTCTTCAGGAATTCCTGCAATGACTGAAACAGACCAAATCAGGAGAATAGTGTTCCAGGTTGAAACAGCCTACCTAGTTATGAGGTGATAAGACAGGCACACCCATTGGTTCTGGAATAGAGAAGGTGCAAATAAGGTTTGCAATTTGGCATCAATAACGTGACCGTAATTGTACCTAAAAAACAAACGTGAATACCAATTAATTTAAAACCCACCATAGGAGTTAGGACTAAATAAGGTTACATA